TTAATGCAATAAACTCTAAGTTACTCGAACGATGCTGCATATCTTCTGCAGGTCTGAAACTTTCAAATCGAACAAGACTATCTGAACTTTTGACGATGATCTGAATGCTAACCACCACCAGCCAATGTTCACAAATAATCAAAGCAAGAAATCAGCCTGTTAACTGCTGTGGCTCAATTAATTTTCTTTGAATACAAAGTCTGCAAAATATTTAATCTATAATTAACTCTTAACCTGTACGCAGTAACATTGGTAAAGCACTTCCTATATAAATGAGATTAAGTCAAAAGCTATCTGCAGGGTTGACAGAAAAATAAATCAGGCAGCTAAAACAAGTTCTTAGTATTCTCTGCCGAATCATGGTAGCAAGTCGATATGTGGAAAAAGTAAATCAGATCTTAAGTGATTCATAGCGTTACGGAAAAATCGAAAACAATATCCGGAAACTATCCATGCGCTCAGTGAATTTATGTTTCGGACCAAAGGTCCAAAAAATCCACTGTTCTACTAATCCGGCATATGATAGAGTCGAAGATATCAAATAATATACCTGCAAATTCCATACCTCAGGATGAAATGCAACACTAAGTTATAACATTCCCGATTCTGGGTTAATTAATGAAATTACGGATGCCTGCCGATTCAAGGGTCGAGGGCACCAAATTGCACAATTTTTAAACACTTTCAGTACAAACGCACTTCGCTACAGCACTTACGGTGCGTTAATGATGCTAGTGAATGTGTAGAGAAACGCACTGTACTAAAAGTGCCTAATTTTGCGTGATATGGTTCCTCAAACGTGAATGGGCAACGCCTAAACAGAGTGTAATAACAGCTGCTAGAAACATGCAAGCATTAGTAAGCAGCAGAAATCCGATTTGTAGGTACACTGTGTGTTGCAACAATACACAGTACAGCCCTAGTATAACGTGTACTATCCACATAGAAGCAGAAGATACAGTTTAGTATTGGAACACAGTCGTCAAAGGATTTTAAAATGAACAAAAGCGAGAAAGAAATTCGCAAAAATTAATGATTCAATAAATTACTGTGTGGCTAAAATATATATAGATTATAGGTAAAAC